GAATTTTGGCTCCAAGAAGTAAAGTTTTTGGGCCATGTTGTGTCCAGAGATGGAGTTGCGGTGGATCCTAGCAAGATTGATGCAGTGATGAAGTGGGAACAGCCAAAATCTGTTACAGAGATACGAAGCTTTTTAGGTTAAATAAGGTGATAAAAGTAGTGTGTTTCGAAGAGGAGAGTAAGTTAAAAGCTAAAAGAAATGCCCCAACTATGGACAAGCATGTCCTTTATAGGTAGAGATCTAAGCAATAAAAATACCTTAATCACAATTAAAAAAGGTGTTTTAGATAATAATGATGTTTAAATTATATGTTACAAAATTATAAATAGATTTAAATAATAATTAATATATTAATTTATAATAATTCTTTTAAAATACTAATGAATAATTTATAGTATCCAACAAAAAGTAAATGGGAATTTTGACATATGGAGAAATAAATTCAAGAATAATTAACATGAGATGGGAGAGAGAAAAAATTAGAGGGAAGATGCGGCTAGAGGATACACGAACAACATCAAAGATTGGACGATGAAATAATTGTACGTCCAGCCATATAATAAGTTATAATTTTCTGACTATAACGATTAGGTTAGTTTACTTAAAGTTAAATATAAATTAAATTAAATTTTAAGCCGGGAATATGAAAGATTAAGAGGGAGGGGATTAAGGGGTGAGACTTCCTATTATCGAGGAAAGCAGGCCCCTAATAGCATGCCAAAGGGGCCCGCTTGCATAATTTGCTACGCGCTTCAAACAGCCCTGCCTCAGTTTACAAAACGAAAGAATAATAGAGATATATATGTAAAAAAGGTCACTTTCAAAATAAAGAAAATACAATAGGATCAGAGACAATAAAGGATTAAAAAGGGAAGGAAAAATATGGCTTTGCTACCTCTAAAGATAGGTGTACACTAGAGATAACGCCATATTAATAATTTGATCAGTTTGATTATATTCTTTCTTTGCCACTCCTTCAATAGTTTGAATCCTTTTAGTGAATAGTTATCAAATAGTTTGCTTCTGGCGCCAAAATGAAAGTTATGAGAGCATGTGTCCCCACGATTCAATATTGCTTGTATTATGCAGTGCACTAAAAGGCACTACTATTTTTATTTATTTTTATTTTTGCATAGCCAATCCATTAGTTTGGTTAACTTGCAGTATAAATCTTATTATATATTATCAAAACTGAATGTGCAGTGACTTGATGGATAGATAGTCTTGAAGTGTTTTAAATTTTACTATAATTTCTTAACGTAATAGATAGAGGAGAGAAGCGTGCATGCCTGGTAAATAAAGACAGAAAATACGAAGTGATACTCCTCAAGGTTAAATACGTGAAGAAGAAGACTTCGCCTCAACTTCGTTAAGGGGTTAGAGGTTGGAGGTTCGAGTCTGGGGAGGTTCCAAAAGACCCCCGTGAGGGTGGGGTGAGGAATAACCACTGTACCACCAGTGGGAAAGCCGGCAATCATGTGGTGACATGTGTGTTGTCCAGCGCCTGGGAAAAGACCCTGGAGAGCAGTGGTGACCCAGGAGGGCTGTTACATAAAAGGCGCCTTTTATGTAACAGTACGGAGCCACCCCTTGGGCCTCGACTCGGTACTGGACTCTGGCCCATCACTGGACCAAAGCCGACTTTTATGTAACAGGTGGTACTGTGGTTATTCCTCACCACTGCCTCTCCAGGGTCTTTTGGAACCTCCCCAGACTCGAACCTCCAACCTCTACCACCTTAATGAAGTTGAGGCGAAGTCTGGTACCATTGAACCAACTTGGTTCAATGGTACCAGACTTCGCCTCAACTTCATTAAGGTGGTAGAGGTTGGAGGTTCGAGTCTGGGGAGGTTCCAAAAGACCCTGGAGAGAGGCAGTGGTGAGGAATAACCACAGTACCACCTGTGGGAAAGTCGGCTTTGGTCCAGTGATGGGCCAGAGTCCAGTACCGAGTCGAGGCCCAAGGGGTGGCTCCGTACTGTTACATCTCACCTCAATCGTGTTTCCATCGCCTTCTCACCTTCGAAGTCTCACTATAGTCTGACAATCAGCTTTCTCATCTACAATCCACTATACCTTTAGCAGCTTCGACCTTTTTAGTGTTCCCGACAATATATGTATATTATTGCACATATGTTTTTTAAGCATCTCCTGTTGGTTGAAACAACTAACCATAATTTAAAAAAATATTATTTAATATTGGAATGATAAGAGAACTAGAGAAAGATTACAAAAAGATAGAGAAAGTAATATTGGGATTCTTTATTATGCTTCTATTGAAGAGGCCATTTCCACCTCATCTGAGAAGAGACCAATGACATCATATCTTGACTCACTAATTATTACTCACTATTTGGATAGAATATAATTTAAAACAAGTTTTTGTCCTTTTCCTCCTCTTCTTGGACAGAATCAAAGATGATAAATTATCAATTTATTCTTTTTCTACCTTTATCACCTTTATCTTCTTCTTCATCTTCAGAAAAATAACAATTTTCATTAATTCGAATGATAAGAAAACATTAAGAAGTGACAACTATTGAAGATTTTGTTATTAGTTATATAGCCTTGCTAGACTACCTAACATACATGATTATTAATTTGCATCAAAATATCTTACAACCCTTTTGACAAAAATATATAAAGGGTTGAATCTTCTTTTATACTTAAGATGCTTCAGTTTTTGTCATATTCACAATCCAAAAAAATATTAGTCATCATTGCAAATTGTAGAAGACAGAAGCTAGCTGAATTCACAAAAATATACACAGAAGGATGCCATGTCCACATCATATCATAGCTTGGATTTGAATTCCTACATGTCTTGCGTGTATGACCAGTTGATGACATAGTAAATAGTGATAAGTCTTTTTATTTGAAATTGTGACTCCCTTCTAGAGTTGTGGCTTCCTCGGAAGACGATTGGTCCTTAGTGGTAGGAGGAAGATTTGGTCTCTGATATTTAAAATGTTGTAGTCATTTAAATATGACATGTCTATTATAACAACAAGAATAATGATAACCAGTGTATCTTCTCTTGTGTAGTGATTTGTAATAGTCTTCGATAGAATTGCATACATTACCCTACATTAGCTTGATGGCAGTGCAAGCTTGTGGACACAGAATCCTTGACAATTGCCATATTGCACAGCTGCATTCACGTAAGCTAAGATCAACATATAAAGTCCCCATATGCAATATGTATACAAACCCCATTTCCTCCATAATGCTTTTAAACATTTATTCAGCTTTAGCCATATGGTTTCTTAATTTTACCTCAATATTGGGGACTAACACCATTTTTCCAAGTAAAGAGAACCATTTTGGATGCATGCATCTTACGAGCTACCTTTTCTCTATACTCAAAATCAATTATGCAACACCATTCCTTCTCTTGGTGACCATCTATGTATTAAATGACTATGTAAAATTTATAGGCCATCAATGTCCTCATAATTTCAAGCCATTTATCATTCCTCATAATTTTGTCATGTGTTTTATCGCTATTTTGGATCTTGAAATTGTCATGTTTAAGCATTCGTCATTATTATTTCGTATATAATGCATGTTATAACTATTTTTCTTATATTCGCAACTTTATATTAATTATTTACAACTTTGATTTATATATTACAACATAATTGAAAATAATATATCATTTATCCATTCAAAGTCAGAACCCATATCCATATTATTTAATGTTACGCATAAAGAGAAAATGAAGATCTTAATCATTTACAGCATATTAAACTCATTAACTTCAACTTTCATAAATGAGAAATGAAATTTTCAAATGAGAGAAGAAATTTATCCACATACAATAGAAGAGATTTCCTTTACCCCAATGTGAGTTAATAGAAGAAGAATGGTAGCTTATATATCTTTGTCATTACTCGTGTATAGTAGCTGAAAAAACGTTAAGAGACAAAAGCATGCCAATGAATTGTGTTGATGTTTGAAATTTTTATTTTAATTAAAGGTAATTTAATAATTTATATTAACTCTTTAATGACAAGAAGTCCTTAAAGACTTTAAAAGAATTATGCTATTTTAAAATATTAAAATATTATTTACATAATTTAAAGAAATTTTACTATTATTTTTTTTAAAAAAATTGTTGATATATACATGTGTGTGTATATATTTTGCATCTGTTACACAACTCCATATAGCATAAAAAGAATTTTACTATCATTTTTTTTAAATTGTTGATATTTTTTTATCTGTTACACAACTCCATATGGTGTAGATTATTTTGTTTTTTTAAACAATGAAAGATTACCATGTGCCATAGAAAAATGAGATAAGAATCAAAAGTGTAAGAATGAGTTTTTTTTTGGGGAGGGGGGGTTTGACTTTATCGTACCCTTTGTGATTCCGAGTTCGTACGAGATAGGATTTTGGGGTTTGATGAATAAGGAAGGAAGTCAATTCGTCACAGGTGAAAGTCACTGCCTCATGCATGAATAATTCCCGGAGAGAATTTTTGGGACAGAAGGAGAGAGAAAGAGAAGAAACTCTGGCAAGGGAAAGCAGCAAACCACAGAAGAGAAAGGAATTATTAAAAAAGACCCTGCACGTTGTTTACGATTTTTCACATTAGACGCGTTTGCCGTTGGAATCGCGAAATTCTCTCCAAACACCCCCCCCAAAAAAAAAAGAAAAGAAAAAGAAAAGTATCGATTGCCGACTTGCCTCCAGATTTTCGGTTCGCTGTTTGCTCTCATTCTAGCTTGCTTGCTCGTTGCTATTCCACACTTCACCACCCTTACCTCAACCGGGCAGGCAATGGATTTTTGTTAGAAATATGAAAAATATTCAATAAACTTTTCAATCGATTTGAATTCCATTGAATTTATTCGATCTGTTTTTATTCTTTTATTTTATTTTTTCCAATGTTTTTTTATTGAAGCTACTTGTGCCGAGATTTCTTGCTCATGAAAATGGATCTTAGAGGACCACTGGTAGTGGTATATTCGTTTTGAATTTTGTTGGTTTGCATACGGCAATTTGGTGTTCCGGTCCACCACAAGTTCAAAGGCCAGGAAAATAGTTTGAGTGCAATGAAAGCTCATGATGTTCGTCGTCGAGGTAGATATCTCTCTGCGGTGGATCTGAAACCTTGGCGGCAAGGGCAACCTTCCGAAACAGGGTTTGCTTCTTAATCGATTCTCTCTCTCTCTCTCTCGCTCTATGCGCAAAGGTCATATCTGGAGCTGGTTCTTTTTATTTTCCCTATCTGCTTGGTTAATTGGCTGCAAAGATCCTATATTTTTCTCTTTTTACTTCGATTAAGTACGTGTAGACTCATCCTTCATCTCGCATATAGGGGTCTTAATTCATACGTCTGTTTCTGATCTTAGAAAAGATTTGTTTGAGATGGGTTGGCCTCATACACTAATTCCAACTATCCTTGTTGGGGGACGGATGGATCCGTGAAAAAATATTGTGTACTAATTTGGTGATTTCATTTTTTGCGGAAAAACTATTGTCATCATATGATGTGGATGCTCATTTGATTATAGGCTGTACTATACGAAACTTGGGCTCGGGTCTCCTCCAAAGGACTACTACGTGCAAGTTGATACGGAAGTGACATCCTATGGGTTAATTTGTGTTGACTGCGTGACATGTCCGAGGACAAGTGATCTTGGAGTATGTATCTACATTCCACTTTTCCAATTTTTGGTTGAACGAAAGCACTATGGTGTTGTATGACATTTTAATGCATGTTCTTAAGACCTCAGTTGACATTCTTAAAAATCACATACGTTTTCAAATATTATGTTGACCCTTTTCGAAGTGGTATGGCTGTATTACAGATAGAGTTGACACTATACGACCCTAAGGTCTCCAAGACTTCAGATTTGGTTTCATGTGCGGAAGATTTTTGCTCTGACACATATGATGGTCCAATTGCTGGTTGCAAGCCTGATGTGGTCTGTCCATATAGTGTAACTTATGGAGATGGAAGCTCCACAACTGGGTACTTTGTGAAGGATTATCTTACATTTAACCAGGTCAATGGTAATCTTCATAGTTCTCCAGCAAATAGCACAGTGATTTTTGGGTGAGAACCAGAGAAGTATTATCCATTAGAGTCGTACTATGTTGACATCTGACAGCTGTTTTTAGTCTTCAATTATGTCTTGTGCAATGTCATTCAATTCTATTATTAGTTCTCATTCTTGCTTCTCATAGGGGAATTGATGTTATTTCTGAATGGTTATTTGAATTAATTGCTTTATATTTTGTGGATAACTTCCTGTTGTAATTACTTGACTGCTTTGTCTAGATTTCTTGGGGGGTATTTTGAATTCTGCGTTTATTTTTACTTCACTTTTCTTGCTTGTCTTTGAGTCCTTTTTTTTTAATTTTTTTGCTGTATAGCAAAACTCCTTTTGGATCACTCATTTCTTAATAACTGGAGGCAATGACATGAACCCAAGTCAGGCTGTGTGTAAAATAATGTTTTGTGTGCATAGTTTTTTACATCCTTACTAATTCTGTGACGCCAATTTCAAACTCCCTCACCTGCTTCTAGAGACTTCTCTTACTGAAATCTGCTCATGTTCTGCTCAAAAACACTTCCAACCTCCCATTTAACATGCACACGATCTTCCTATACAATTTTTCCTCCTTTGTCTTCCACTTTAGTTGACCCAACCCTCATATACTATGTTTTCCTCGTAGCTGTTCCTTTTATAACTGGGAGCTTTAATCTGTTTATTTTTTAATGTCACAACACACTTAGCTCCGTAAAGGTCAATATTATATCTGGATGCTTTCTAGACGTATTCTGACTTCTGAGGTTTTGTTTTCCTGATAGGTGCGGTGCTAAACAATCTGGGGCATTGGGGTCAACTAATGAAGCTCTGATGGAATACTTGGTTTTGGTCAAGCAAATTCGTCTGTGCTTTCACAACTTGCTGCATTCTAGGAAGGTGAAAAAAATATTTTCACACTGCCTTGACAATATTCATGGAGGTGGAATCTTTGCCCTAGGGGAAGTGGTGGAGCCAAAAGTCAATACAACACCTTTGGTTTCTGGACAGTATGTGTAGTATGTTGTCTTTTGTTTTTTTTCCCCATTGCCATGAAGTTTGATCAATAGGATGTCATTAATTGATGATGGTAATATGGTATCCCTCAATAAGAACTATCACCATTTCCGCCTATGCTTTTCCAACCATTTTCATAGCCTTGTGTCCCTTTTAGCCTACTACTGAAGTCATAGGCAGCTTCACTACAGCCATCCCTTAACCCCTTCTGTAATTGGTTCTGTTGATTCCTCCTCCTCTGTTTCTGTAAGCTCCTCCCCTTTAGCCACCATCATGTGAATTTGCTTGTTCTTACACTTTTTTTATTTGGGCCAACCAAATTTCTCCTCACACTTGAAACAATTCTAACTCTCTTCTCCTATTCATTTAAGCCTTAGACGACCTCTTTCTAGTGGTGTCACTACCAACGCTGTAGTTGGAGTAGTTATTGGGATGGTAATCTTTCTTTAGGTGCTCTTGATTTCTTCTCCACTCTTAGTGTCTGTTGTTTTGTTGTTAGCGAAATCCCCCAGTGATTGGGATAATCAGTGCACTCATGCCAAACAGTTTGAGCTGTGGTTTCACCCATGTTTTGCTCCTCCTCTGCTTTTCGCAATCTTGGAGTTGGGACTTTCTCTCCTTTATAGCTTTCTGAAGAACTACACTCTTTCTTGGTGACCCTAGTAATTGGAAAGTATGTCTCCAGCATGAATAGCTACCCTGCAGGACCCTCTCCCAAAAATAAATAGGGCTTGCATCTTGAAACTTCCTGGCATCATTCTGCTCAGTGCTGTTTTTCCTATCCTCCTCAGTTTCACCTGCTTGTGTCAACTAGTCTGGTCCTGTTGGCCTGTTCTGAGGCTTTGTCTCACATGCTAGTTAGCAGCATTGAAGGTAGTTTGAAAACTGCCCCAACTGCTCTTGTAGCTCAATGTTGAAAGTTTGACTGTTACGACCTCGTCAGAGTGTCTTCTTGCTTCCTTCAAATCTCTTTGACCGTATGCTCAGAATTTTTGACTCTTCCATCTGATCATTGACCATATCCAATAAAAATGGCATCCGTGATACCAATACCAATTGATGAATTTCCAACACTAGAATTATATTTAATGCAAAATACTTGTCTTTGGTGAAAAAAGGGAGACGATGTTGTGATCAAAAAGCTCACACGTTAATGATGAAGTAAAAAACAGTAAGTGAAATCACACTCTTACACAATAAGCACAGTAGTAGCAGGAAAACACTGAAAAAGCAGAAAGAAAAAAAATGGAAAGAAGAAACCTCCCCCCCTCCCTCTACCTAGATCCAGTGTCCAAAAGACCAGGTACTCTCCCTCACAATATCACACTCTGGCTTTCATCACTTACACCTCCGTTATGTCTCATATACCATCAAATCCACTGACAAGGTTATTAGCCTTGTCAGACCTTACCTTTTTGTGCCCCCATTCCTGGCTGGTTCATCCACTTGTTAGGCTAGACCTCTCTTCTTTCAAATAGATGTCTCAAGAGTGTCCCTTCTTGAGAGTCCATTTTGCCTCTCTTGCTATATATCCCTCTTGTAATGTCCGCCTTGACATTACTAGAGCACATTCACAATACTTATCATGGTAAATTAGGATTAAATAAATCTTAGCTTAGTTGCCATGATAGTAAAGGATTAAACTTGAATCATCTATAAAAACATTCATAAAGTTTTGGATTTCAGAGAAAAACCCTTTCGAAGATGTTTGAGCTCAAACATGTGATAAAATAATGTATAAAATCAATACGGAAGCATGGCAATCAAGTATAAGGATGAAAATATCAAAAGGGGCAAAATGGACAATCCACCTATTTATGGACAATCCATCATGGAGCAGACCTGTCATGACAGCACCTCGGAATGAACTTCCTACGTGCACTGTTTTCTCATCTGACGTTCGATTTAAGTAATTTAAGTGTCATCCACATAGCTAATTGAACTACCTAACTAATGGCACTAGTTTGACATACCCATTTAAACGACATTTGAGTAGAAAATGATCACTTTTCCTTTTACAACAAGCCCAAAGGTGCCAAAAAGCCCAACAACCCTTGAATCACATCGTAAGGACCAATATACACTTGATGAATCCATCACAC